ATACAACACAAAAATAGCAACAAGACAGAACACATACGACGAAGAACATAACAATGTAGACACAACGCCAACAGCACCACAGTTACCACCCCTACCACATAACCATCCATTATCCCTAGTCCCACGTAATTTTCGAAACTTAGCAATAACACATAATCCAAATTTTAGACCAACCATATCACAAAGTCCCATCCAACATATAATGACACGCCACTCACAAGATGAAAAAACTTATGAACAAATTATAGAACAACCCCATACCACCGCTTTTCAGTCTCAAAATAATAATTTTTTTAGCCCACGATGAGCCGACAACTTGGATCCCTACACCGTTCAAATTCCCACCCAACCAACCTCACTACTCCAATTACAATAATACCACTTTTTGCTTTCCCGCCACCCGATTTCCCAACCAGTAATGTAACATCAGGCATGAATTCCGTTACTAATTCACACATCTCAGTTTTATATTGCACATCACAACTCAATAACCCGAATATTGAAACCCCCGATGAATTTGCCGACTCTGAACCATCTCCATCCAATAATTTTCACACCAACCCCTCAATTTTTTCCCACCCCCTTTTCAACCAATGCTACCAAATAACCCCGTCCCCACCAATTCTACACCCTCTTATGCTTCCCAAGTCACTCCAACCTATTCTTCACATCATTCAGACCGATCATCCAATTCTCCAGATACCCCCCAAATCTCCCCAGAACTAGATAATTTTATTACATTACAACAACAACCCTACCACCTTGATACCCCCACCATAAACCAAATTTCATCCACAATAGATTCATCCAACCCCCCTACCCCTACACCCTCTTCAATTTATACCGAATCATTAGCACCATCATCCACATCTACTGAATCTTCACTCAGCACTAATAGAGCTTACCGCACTTTTAAAAGAAAGTTCCCCAACCATCCTTTCCCAGCAAAACCAGGAACAGCCCGTGAATATATAAATCACCCAAATCACACTAATACAAAAGAATTTTTAGCTATCACCTTACCCTCATTTCCACAATACACCTTAAACACCCCTCACGACACTAACGAGACACGTAACTTTGTAGACGAACACGTTTTAATGCCTACCCTTCCTTGGACCTCATATTATCATTTTACTAATCCCCTTTGCTTACCTTTATCTAACACTCACATCGATATAGAACGAAATAAGGACATGCTATATCGACTCACTACACCACTAACACCTAGACAATTTACTTACATCGGATATAAAAAATCACTAAAAACATACACTGCACCCCGAGCTAACGAATATACGCTAGAATATTACGATCATAACATCATCAGAACTAACCAAGATCAATTCTTAGACGACGATCGCTTCGCTAACCCACAAATCACAGAAAAATTTTTCATTAAAACACCATATGTATTTACACTCAATATCTTTGACCGCAAATTTGACCACATCATTTCAGAAGCACTAACAGACACACAAGCTTACGAAAGTTTTAAAGAACGCTTCCAAATATTTTCACTAACCTTTCATTTCCTTGCACCACATGAAAGAGATTTGCACTGCTCACACGATATTATGTTGCGCACTAAACAAACTCACACATATACATATTATCGTTTTATCCAAAATCACTTCGACCTACACACCCCCTCCAGACAACCACACCACCGTTTTCAATTCATCAATTCCAAATACACCTCACCATTCTTTCTTAACTTCACATATTGCATTAAAGATACTAACCTTCATGGTATTCTTCGAAATTATGATCCCATAACCCAAATGTATATTTTTTGTCCCATCACCAAGACCTTCAACGCAGAAGAATCCCGACCCTTTCTTCTCCCACACGAATTTGTTCAACCTATAAAAATCCCCATTTTAGAATTCATCCACAACACTAAATTCAATCACAAATTATATAATCTAATCCAAAACACACCTTATGAGTTTGCAGTTGGCACTGAAGAACTAACCACCATTAAAGCACTTCAATTGCTTTGGCCACTGCTTCAAACTAAAAATATCATCCGCATCTTAGCTAAATTACTAACAACTTCAGATCTCATCCACGACATCTTCCCCCACGGTTTCTTCCCCGACGACTAACAGGTAATTATGAACTATACATATTAGTAACTAGTTATTAAAATTAGAAACTAACCATTCTTTATTCATGTCTTCTTTAGAATTTTAGCATTCATCCAACGATCATCTGAAAAATTCACAAAAGAAAATGAAAATTGAAAACTTCTTCAAACTGTTTAAAACTCTATTAATTTTTTGCACCAAATAATTAAATAAAAATAATACCAATGCAATAATTTAATTTATAAATTTTTTCCCAAATGCAGTAAATCTAATAATGATGAAAATTTGCAACTTAATTTTCCCCAACAACTAGCAGTAAAATTGAAATTCTATGTAGTAAATTAATAAGAAGCAAATGCAGTACTAACCTTTTGATATTTTCATTCACTCGCACAAGAATTCTATCCAAATTCGCACAGCTCGCCCGCGAAGAATTGTTTAAATAATGAATTTCAGTTTCAAGCTTTCACACTCAACAACTCTAACACACGATAACAAGTTTCAAACTTTCCTTTAACCCGGTTGGAAAGGAATTATATACTAAACAAAACTAACCAATGCAGCTTACTAAACACCACAACACATAGCATAACAGCATGACTAAGAAAAGGAAACCAACGGTACCCAAACCGGATTAACCCAGTTTAAAACTGGATAATTTATTCTTTTGAAGACTATTATAAAGTTTAAGAAAGAAATAATAAAACACAAAAAAGTCGAAAGACAAACCCATACCACAAACAATTTGATTTTTGAAAAAAGGACACAACCAACAAAACATAAGAAAAACCACAACAAACCCAACATAAAACGTTGTCACATAACAGGACCTCTGACAAAAACCGCATGCAATCATACTCCCACTCCTGGCCTAACCCACCAGAAGAGGACGTCCTGAGCATGTTCTATAGCCGGCCTAACCCACCGCGCTACATCCACGCTTTGTGACACACACTCTTATTTTTAATAAGAGCTACTCAAGGGTGAGTAACTCTTCAAAATAACTGAACTAAAACAAAAAGCTTTTGTGAAAACAACTAACCAAAATCATAATTAAAAAACATTAAACTAATAAAAGTTTTATAAAATGTAAATTATATTATGCAATATATAGATCAGCATACAACACCAAAGACGAACATCCAAAGACAAAATGAACCCACTACACTCGAAAAAGAATGGCCAACCACAATCAATATGCCGCCCACAATCACAACTCAAAGGATTTAGAGTACGACTTGACTTCGCAGAAAAGGACTTCATTGAACTAGACCAATGACCACCTCGATGTTCAAGTATACGTACAGATCCGAGTAACCAGGCATCCCCTCCACGCACAATCTCCACGCCATTCCCAGACAAGATCAAAACACAAAGAAGTTCTCATCATTGAAACAGAAAAACCTGACATAGCCAAACATTCTGAAATCAGATTTGAGTTTGTTGCGAAAACCCAGTCGTTGTCATGAGATGACACAACGATCGAACCTGGAACTTCTCTAACAAGAGAACCCAGAAGAAATATGATGTTCGCCAAACACCAACGTCCATCATCCATCCTTTGAATTACAGAAAGACTATTCTAAAAAACTCTGCAAAACCCGGATGGGTGGAACCTGATCTAAACTACATTTTATGATTGGATAAATTAGATATTTTACCAATGTAAAGTGTTTAATATTAACCAATCATGATCCATCTGACTAACAATCCACTTATTTGTAAGTGCTGAAATTACTTGTAATTTCGGCACCAGAGAGATTTGAATTTAACTTAGAAATTAGTTGACTCTCCAAGAAGACTTCAGCAACCGCAATAAACCAGTATACCCTAGATCTATTGAGCCTAGCAGAGACTAGTTAAACAACCTGAGACTAGATAGTATAAGAGTAAGATTAGGATTGGTATTAGACTATGAAGTTGCACGAATCTATCCGGCCGAAAATAAGATAGCGTGACGAGCAGACGGTGTACCCTATCCGAAATTACTCTATGAGTTATACACTTCGGTCTGAACTCAACACCTATCATACAATTTTCATATATGGAAAAATGCTTATCATAGAGTTTTCATACAATTTTCTGTACGTATTGTATGAATTGTATGAAATTGTATGACAAGAAGTTTCTCATATATGGAAATTGTATGATAATAAGTTTTGGTCAACCCGGGGTAGCAATCTAAATGAAAACTTTAGCCGTTTATCGACGCGAATGTAAGCTGCAAACGTAGCCGTTTATCGCTATCGGCAACCATATACCGAGAAACGGCTAAGCTGAAATTTGTTGGTGGAGTTATGTCTTGTTTTCAAACGTCAAATGTTCGGCAATTATCATGAAATTCAGATGTTCGATTATAGCGGACGTTTTGAAGCAAAAAACGAAACAGCTCGAAAAATTATGTTAAAATCCTGCGAATAGCAGAGGAGCTATCAGCTGGCCCTAATAGTGGATCTAGGGGGGGGGGGGGCGGGGGGCGGACGTCTTTGTGCTATTTTGAGATATCAATTTTTGGTTACCAATCCTTCGGGGGGAACGCGCGCCGATAAAACGCAATTTTTTGTTCAAAATTTTTCCAAAAAGTGCCTAAAAAGGTATTTTTTGGCCCGTTCTTTCAAAACTTTGCTTGCGGCCCAGGAAAACTTGGTCAAAACAAGGTCTTTTTAAAGCTTTGGGAGAGCTTGAAAAATCAATTTAATCGACCAAAAAAAAGTTTGACAAAATTTTTGAAATTATTTTGAAAATCAGCCAACCCTGGAGAAAATCTTAGATCCGCCCCTGCCTAATAGTCCATTTGTATTATCTCCCCACGTTCAAGACTGTGTTACTTTGTTGAGTGAAACTCTTTTTTTGCTACTCAAGGCCGTTTTTTGCGTCTAGAACTTTCACTTGGTAACACTATTGTAGCCGAAATTGGTCAGGCTGTGGTAGACCTGAAGCAAAAGGTCGAGAGTGAGAGCTCGCCATCACCCACTATCGTTGACATGGCATGAGATCGAATACACGATGTGACGATTTCAAAGAGATCAACTTACCACTATGCTAAGTGCCTATGCTGAACATTACTATGCTGAATAGTATTACTACGTTACACTAATAGTAACACTACGCTGACTGTTTCATGCTCACATTTTTTTCCTATTTTTAATCCATTATCCGTGAAGTTATATATCGCGACTTGTATATAGCTAAAACTGCTCATAGAAATTCCGTGTAGTTTTATATTACATGGAATTGCAAAAAAAAGTCTTTGATTAGTTTTTTTCATAGAGGTTGCATCAATAACAATACATCGCGCACCGGGGTTCCATGGATAATAATTGATTATAATGGAAAGTTTTTTTTTCCAAATTGTTGTCATTATAATCCATGATTGCTGCAAATTAGACACCGAAATCGATTATATTGTCATTATAATCGATCATTTCCTTAAAAACACAATCCATTAAAACTCATTATAATGGACTATAATCCGTTTAAAACCCAATATAATGGATAACAATCCATTTAAAATCCATTATAATAGATTATAACGGATTAAATTGTATACATTTTTTTGCAAAATAATTTGCAAAACTTGCAACATTTCTACGTTACGGCCTCTACGCAATCTAAACCTACTCAAATTACCCCCTCCTTTTGTCCACATCCGACCGCTTTTGCCCAAACTCCCTCCACCACTAAACGGCGGGGGGGGGGGGGGGTTAAACTAAGATGAGGCCTCAGATTGAGGAGGGGTAAACTGAGTGGGGGTCTGATTCAACTGGCGGGTCTAAATCATAAACCCACCTCCCCCAAAGTCTACTAATAAAAAAAAACCCATAAAGAGGGGTGAATGGTGGTGTGATAAACTGGCAGGGAGGTGGGGGGTGGGGCTGCAGTAAACGGAGGGGAAAGCGGGGGGTGTAAACAAGGAGGAAACATGGGGGGGTTGTAAACAGTGAAGAAAATGGGGTATAAACAGGGGGGGGGGGGGTAAACGGGGTATACGGGGTATATGAGACAAAAATTTTAAAAATTGAAGTGAAATAAATCCTAATACGTAGCAACTGCACTTAACAGGGAATGCGATAACTTTGAAAAAAAGTTGTAAATTTCATGACTAACCTCTCGAAAAAGTCCATTATAATTGATTACGATAGATTATTATGGATGGTATTGGCATATAAAATGTAAGAAATTTAACCCAATTTTAATGGATTATAATCGTTCATAATCGATTATTATGGATTACTTTTGTAAACTTATAGATACTGACTAAAAATGACAATATAATCGATTATTATCCATGGAACCTCAGTGCGGGATCATATTCAAAAAGTGCACAGTTTTTTAATTCTTTTGTTTTTTTCTGAGCTCAAAATGAAAGCACAAAGGAAAAAGACTTGTTCAATTAAACTGTCTTGTAACGATGGTTCAATGTTATTAAATGGTAGCACAACAACGTAACCCGCTGTACTGTTTTGCGCAACAATGTCTCGATGCAGAGAGAACGTCCATGACAAAAAACACCCAACCACTCCCCCCACACTAAGCAAAAATGTCCCATACCCCATCAATTAACAACTTCGGAAAATCTGATAGCTATATTACTTACAATTTGCAAATTGTAAGTAATATAATTGTTAAAATTGTCGCAAAATAAGCGACAACTTTAACAACTTGGAAAATGTTTAGCGTACTTGATAAGAGAATGTAACTTTCAGTTGTTGATTTTTTTTTTACTTTTGACTGTTTTTTTTTCGTTTCTATTGTTGAATTTTTACCCAAAACTCGTTCTACAACTCCATGGTTTGTTTTTAGTTTTGTGTAAATCAAATTATGTTCTCCAACAGCAAAAGTAAAAAAACACGGAAACTTTTAATTGTATGTTAGTATAATAGTATAAGTAACTATAATAGTTACATACAGCTGATTCACAGTCTTGCAAAAGCTCCCCAGTCCTAGAAATTATAGAGTTAGAGGTAGTTTGTTCTATGTTAAAATATTGATAAACTAAAGTTCTAAAATTGTAACTTTTTCCCACGAATAAACTTTAGAAAAAACCGCCAAAACTGTTTGAATGTTTTTCAATAACTTAATTAGAATCAAATAGTTTGTTGAAAAATTTTTTGAAAGCTGGAATGGAAAATGCAATTCAATTAGTAGCTTATCAAACAAATTTTGAAATTTTTTGAATGCTTTTTTACTTACACGAATTCAGCGTTTCATGTCAAATTTAGCCTTTGAATGTACTTTTTGACAATTCTTGTGACATTGCTTAGGACGTTCTGTATGTCCAGATATATGTTTTTAGAAACCTTGTAGTCATCAACTAAAAATATTTTAAAAAATACAATAATTGTTGCTATGGAATCAGGCGTCAATGTTTTGTTTTCGATGAAAAGTTTCATCTAGTGTTTTATCATGTGTCTTTCCATTCCAATGGAACAATTTTATGTGGAACTTTGTTCTAGCTTAGTGTAAATAGAAGAAAAAAGTCAATTAAACAAAAACCAATACCGAAACTACAAGTGTGAAATTTCTACAATGAAAAACTTCAGACAAAATGTTGTGATTGTGTTATTGTTTTAATTAAATTACTTTCTTAAGCAGATCATCTATCACCCGGACTAATGATAGCGATCGCCATCAGAGCGAGCGAGTTCATTGTTATTGCGTTATAGTTAGAAATACCACAACTTTAGTTTGAAAGCTCTGTAATTTCTCTACTACTTTAATTTTTGTTTACTAAGAAGATCAGTACATTCAATTATATATAAAAATTCTCGAATGACAAGCCTTCTTGAGCAAAAATTATCAACCGCTTGCTTGAATTATTATTTTTTTCTAATTCAAAAAAGTTTGATTTTAAAATATGCTGGATTGATCGTATCAGGTTAAAGCCCTGATTGTTCCGACT